AAAAAGACAATGGTGTAATTGACCAAACATCTTGAGCATTGGTTTCTGAAGCAAAATTAGAAGTCCCCGTCCCTAATATGCACCAACTTTTGGGTGTCATCTTAGATTTATAGAAGAGTTATATACAAAATGTTGTCCCTCAAAGATGCTAATCCCTAGGCTTACTGAGTCCAGCAAAACTTCCACAAACATCTAAATATATGTAAGCTAAATATTGGGAGAGGGAAACACCTCTTATTTTACTTCCAGATATAAAAACTAAATGCCATCAAACCTCTACCAAGAGGAGCACATTAAATATCCTCTTCCAGACAACAGGAATACTAAAGGAAAACTACAGCTCAATCAGATCAGTTGAAAAACCTTTTAAAAGAATCCATTCAGTGATTATTATTACACAAAGCTTTGTGGGGTTTTTCCTCCTAAAGAGAATATAATAGCTTAGGTCAGCTTCCCTGTTACAGGTTGTTTTCAACATTTTCCAAATTTACCACATAAAAAGATCACAGTAAATTATCTCAGCTATGAAATAAAGATTTTTTAAAAAGTATTCAGTAGTGATGTAACAGGGTTAGAGATGTTTGCTATTCTTAATTTTTTTTTTTTTTTTTTTTGGTGACAGTCTCACAGCAACCTCAAACTCTTGGGCTCAAGTGAGTCTCTTGCCTCAGCCTCCCAGGTAGCTGGGACTACAGACATTTGTCTCTTCTAGAGACAGTTCTTGCCCTCTTGGCTCTTGCTCAGGGCAATCCACCTGCCTCGGCCTCCCGTAGTGCTAGGATTACAGGCATGAGCCACCGTGCCCGGCCAATTTTTTTGTTTTGGGGGCTCTTCAAAAGCAAACATTCGATTAGAAAATATTATATATTCTTTCCACTCATTTCACTATATTTTCCATATTTCTTGATAATTTGCAAATCATAGAAGAGCCTCTGTTACATTGGATTACTCCACTCTCACCTTCTCTTACTCAACCTTCCAATTGAAAAGGCCCTTAGGAATGCAGCTTACTTCAAACCCTAAGCCAGGGGTGTCCAACCTTTTTTTTCCTCTGATGCAGTGGAAGAGTAAGTTTTGGATCATACATTACATATACAAATGCCAAAAAAGTGGATAGCAAAGTCCATGCACGCTTTTCATGATATCCACCACACAGATAAGCAAAATAGTCCTCACAAAATTAGGCAGGGCTGCAGGTTGGACTCTCCTAAGCGGTCGTCTTCTGTCCCCTTAAAGCTGGGACCAGAACAAAACATAGCACCTAGGCCAAGGCTGCTGACAATCCTGTCCAAGTCTGTTGCCATGGGCATTATTCTCCACCACATTAAACATCCTGGCTTCTCTAAGTCCCTGCACAGACCTGTGCCTTTCCCTCTGTTACAGAATCACTGACATCCACAGGGCCCACCCTTTGACCCACACACTGACTTTGGAAGGCCAGTCTAACACCATTGGGGTGTGGCAACCTCTTCTCTTTGAGGTTGTTGATGAAGTACAGCTTGCTTTTTGATGCACTTTAGTTTGAAACTGAGTCTGTCATGTAAGGACTGTCTTACTCTTTAATCAAAAATACCATTTCAGACTGTTAAAGGAGTTTTGAGACAGTGATTCGATAAACATAATGGCTTCCTGTCCTTATCTCTTCTTTTACTTTTCTTTTTTGGAGACAGAGTCTAGCTCTGTTGCCCTGAGTAGAGTGCAGTGGTGTCATCACAGCTCCCTGCAACCTCAAACTCCTGGGCTCAAGATCTTCCTGCCTCACCGGCCTAGGAGCTGGGACTACAGCTGGGCACCAATACAGCTGACTAATTCTTCTGTTTTTAGTGGAGACAGATTCTGCCTCTTGCTTAGCTTTACTGTCCTTATACCATCATTCTCTGCATCTCTTTGGGTCACTACTCTGATGTCACTGGTTAATCACTAGGTGCCAAGGGCTCATGGAATAAAAGCTTAACAAGTAGAAAAAATGGGGGTGGGACCTTATGAACAGTCCTCTACTTAGCCTAAGAAATGACAGATTGAGTTATCTTCCAAAGGATAAGGAGTAGGGTATTTCCTGAAACTACTTAATTTATAGATGACTAACAAGAAAATACATAATTGGTTACTTTATGTTTAGATCCATCTTATTTAACATAATCCTTGGAGGCTAAAAGAAACGTTTTGGGGAAACTTTCCTAAAAGGTTAGCATTTTTATTCTCTGCATTTTTTAAAGTCTGCTCAACTCACTTTCCAACATCGTGATATCAATGATTTCATTTAAATAAAACTTTAACATTAAAGTTTGAACTCTGCATTAGATCGCTTTATTTTTTAATATTTAAAATTTAGTTGACACTTTTCTATGTGCCTTCAGCAGTTACTAAGACAACTGACTTGCCAGTTGCTTCTCTAAAATTGGTGTGAGAAAAATTTTAGTGTTTAATGTAACATAGAATTTTGATTTGTCTTTTAAACCATTAGATGCATTTTAAAAATTATTTAAAAATCAAATATTGGGCAGCACCTAAGGCTCAAGGAGTAGGGTGCCAGCCCCATATGCTGGGGGTGGCAGGTTCAAACCTGGCCCCAGCCAAAAACCGCAAAAAAAAAATCAAATATTGACAGACCAAGCAGCTGAAGTTTCATATGGGTGCTGTGTGCCTCCAGTAACGTGTGTGTACACATGCACTGTTGCGGACGCTGGCAAGCACACTGCCCACGTGCTACTCCCCGTGCCATCATAGCTGCAGTTACAGTACCTGGAGGCTCACCTAGGAAGCAGAATAGATCCAAAGGTAGACGTTTTCTCCCCCTTTCCATGGTGCATGTCAGTGGGAGTTTGCTTCTCATTTTCCTAGTACTAAATGTTAAGGCTCTTTTACGAACAAAAACCTAAGAGGCTGGAAAATTTTGAGAAAGATTAACAATCATAATATCAATTCATCAAAGCCTTAATGCATTAAGATTATAGTGACAAATTAGACTCCACTTCTTTTACCTAAAGTAAGTTGTTTTCATACAGTTGACCCTACTAAGGACAGGAAGGGTATCCTAAATTGAAGCATTTGTATGAGTAAATTGGTTACTAAAATGGGACAGCATGGAGCAGAATACTAGTTTTTCTTCACAAAATAGCAATTTCTGATTAGTTTTCTGCATGAGCCAAATAACCACAATTCGCTTTCTATACACATTAGTGCCATAATTAGGAGGTATAAAAAATTAAAGGTTAATGCCAATGATAATAAAACATAGGACTGGTATTTTTTATTATAAAGGTTATAAAGATTGTTTTTCCTAAAAAAATTTCTAATACAGGGGATAGATAAGAAATGAAATAATGTTCCTCTCTAAAGTGGCTCTGTATCACAATAATTCCAATTTGGATATAACATTTTGCCACCAACTGATAGATGAAGGAATGCCTCTCTGAAAGAGTTCATATCATATTCTTGGGTAAAGCTAACCTTACAGAAGAAATATTACTGATAAAAATATTTTTCCATTTTAAACAAATCTGTAAACTACACCTTTGTTTATAGAAAAATGCTTGTAATAGTCACTATGGATAAAAATCTGTGGAAATAAATACTTTTGAATAAAGTGGTGTGCCAAATCTAAGTGGAATTGAAAACTCTGCAGCTGCGCATTGGCTGAAAAGTTAATTTTTAATGCTTCCTTGAGAAACTTTGTCCTGGAGCCTGTATTCAGACATCATGATCATTTAAACCAGGGGTCAACAAACTAGGGTCCAGAAGCTGGAGATGGGGAAAACCTTTTCCCTGTAAGACAACAAGGCTTATTGAGCAAGAGCTAGAGGGCTACATGCATATAGAATCTGAGGCAGTTTTAGTAGAGGAGAGAACACTAGTAGACCAATGAAATAAAAAAGAGCCCAGGGAGAGGGCCAAACATATGTGTAACATACCTATGGTAGAGATGGCATTCAAAATCAATGGGAAAGTATTTACAAGGTCTGCATGAAGAAAATTATAAAATGAGTGAAAGACATTAATGATAAAAATGTAGAACTTATGTACACCAATAAAGACTTCCTACCACAAAAAGGTTAATTGCCCTTAAGTAGATCTATAGATGAGAAATCAAAGTCTCAACACAGTTTTTATTTTAAAATTGACAAACGCATTCTAATATATACATGGACAGGCAAAGGCCCATAGATAAATTTCTTTACCAGCAGGTATAGAGACTTATAAAACTTGAGTAATTAAAAGGTGTGGATTGGCACAGAGACAGAAAAATTGACCAGAGGAACAGAGTTCAGAAACTGAACATCTACATGGAAACACTGGTATACTGTTTCATAACTAGAAGCACACATCAAAACCACCTGGAAATCTTCTAACCTCCCCCAAATTTATAGAACAAGATGCCGCTACAGATGTGCCCTTAAACACATATCATTAGGAACTACTACTGAAATATTACATTTAGTCTTAATGTCATCAATAGGTGCTAGGAAACTCCAACTTTAATTGAAGTGCTATACAATGAAACCAACTTTACATAGGCAAATTGATAAGAGTTCCTACAGCATACTTCTGGTCACAATGACCGAACCTGTAAAGAGCAAAACACTTCTAGTATTACTTTGAAATAAATGTGGGCTATGCATTTAAGAAGGATTTAATAAAATGAATCATTTTACTTACTTTCACCTAAGTTTGCGACCTGGAGGACCAATTGCGACCTTATTCCAATTCAGGGTTGTGGGCGACCAGAACCTGTCCCTGAAGCTCAGGGTGGGAATCCACTGGGGACAGGCTGCCATCTGACCATAGGGCACACTCAAACACACCTCCCACACACTCAGACCGCACAGACACGCCAGTTTACCTAGTGCACAGCTTTGCTATGTGGAAGGAACTGGAGGACCTGGAGGAAACCTACACAGACACAGGGAAGTGCCAGGATCCACAGACAGTGGGCCTGAGTGGGAAGTGATTTTTCTCCCCTCAACTTTATAATGAAACCACATTGAATGAAATAATATTATTTGAGGACCTGCTGTATACTGTTTAGTGAAAACTTGCCTCACGAACCCAACTCCGATCTAAAGTCAGATTCACCCTTTTTCTAAGTGGCTGATCAAAAAATGTCCTCACTTCAGGAAAGCCTTCACCTCATACTCAGAGAGGTCTAGGCCCTACCCTCAAAGCCTCAATAGGAAAATTATGTCTGAAAAGAGCCAGGTTTCATACAAGACACACTTAACCTAGTAAGACTTCAGAAAGAGAAAAGCAGCCTGATGTCAGGACTGGCCTGACACACAACGAGGCCCAGGTGGTATCAGAAGCTGGCCTGGTGTTCCCTGCTAGGCCGTGTTGTTCTTTTGTATAGGAAAATCTTAGAAAATGCAATATCAGACAAACGTCATTCTGTCACTGTGATGAATAGATGAAACAAGACTCCTTCATAATTTTGTCTAAGCAGAGATAAAATTACTATGTGAACCACACAATACCAAACATTCCCTCTCTCAGGTAATAGGAGGACTATGGCTTCATCAGTTGCAGCTTTCCCCTAGATCTAATCTTCCCTCTTCTAAGACGATATTAAGATATCCAATCTAGGACTTGTCCCTATTTCCTGACAGCACTCAAAACAGACTCTTGCTTATTTGGAACCTCCCCAAATCACCTAACGAAAGCCCAAATCCTAATACCCTCTTACTGAAATGTCCCACTGTTCCTTGAGGTGTACCCATGGTGTGGATTCTCCCTCATGCAAGAAACATTAAACCCAGCTTGTTTAACTATAGGTGAGTTTCTGGAGGTGTTGAAGTTGCCTCCTTCCACCAGCACAGTATTTTGCAGAGTAGACCCAAGGAGGTTTTGCCTGAGGTTATACTACTAACACATTCTAAAATTTGCTAAGAATATAGACACTGTAAATAACTTTCAAACAAGTAGAAAAAAAAAAACAAATATTTTTCACCTAAGTTTGCGCCCTGGAGGATGCTGGGAACACATCAAGACTTAAGGTAAACTTAAAACAAGGGAGTTTGGCAAATCAATGTCTGCAGTCCTTTCTGTTTACATCCCATGGTGTTCACCTGATATTCTGATTTGGCAACTTGAATCTTCTGAAGAGTAAGTATTTGATGAAAGGACAAAAATCACACCCAGGCTAATAAATATTAGCCTTTTAATTAACAAAACTTAAGGCTTTTACCAAAGCAGTTAGATTAACAGCACGTATCTTTCCACGCTACTCAAGAATGGTCAATTCACTTGTCTTACTCAGATTTATATACTCATTTTAAAAAGCTATTCTAGCCCCCCATCAATTTTGAGTGTTATATTAGTAAAAGGTAGAGGAAAACTGTAAGCACCGGAAAATTACCCAGAAAATACAGGAGATAGGGTTGAGGCTGGATATTTCTGAAAACCTGATAAAATCTTAACACCAAAATTTACAGATAAACAATAGTAGATTCACTGTTTTCCAGTCTTATTTTAAGACAACTCTTTTCTTCTTGTTCTTCAAAAGTAAGTACATTAAGAAATGATAATATGGCATCTCTAAAAATATTGAAAGCTAAATGTGTAAGAGTAGAACCATAACTTTACATTTCATTAGATGTTTCACATCTAGACCAAAAAAAGGGTTTTGACATTTTTAAAGAGTTCAGGCCAGGTTATTGGGGATGTCCCTCAATTTAGACTTAACATTTCCTTAAAATGAGATTCAGGTGAGATATTTTCAGACCCTATCCTACAGAAGTGAAGTTGTTTTCAGTGTAATGAGAGGGTACATGATATCAATTTGCCCCATTATCGATATTAATAAGCTTGATCATTTGGTTATTGAAAAGGTCTCTTTTCTGCTTCTTGATACTTTGAGAGTGTGTAAATATTCTCACATAAATGTGTATGTTTTAATACATGTAAAATTTTTAATGGTTTTAGGATCTCCTCATTTGTGACTTTTTTCCATTCATGACATTTCTAATTAAAGAAAACAATACATTTTGAAAGACTTGCTGATGCTGCTTTGCAGGGTATTGAATGGGAAACTGTGCTACTTCTCTTAAATATGTGGATGGTAAATTGAATATAAGAGTTTGTGCAAGACTGCATGCGTTTGTGAACCTCTTCAACTTAAGATCTGTACATTTGACTCCATGAAAAATTCGCCTTAAAAAAGAATTGTAAATAAATATTCAACTCTAACGCAGGCCAACGTGTTCACGGGGTGCAGCATACTAAGGTATGCATTTTAAAAATAACAGTTTCCGCTCGGCGCCTGTGGCTCAAGTGGCTAAGGCGCCAGCCACATACACCTAAGGTGGCGGGTTCGAATCCAGCCCAGGCCCACCAAACAACAATGATGGCTGCAACCAAAAAATAGCCGGGCGTTGTGGCGGGCGCCTGTGGCCCCAGCTACTTGGGAGGCTGAGGCAGGAGACTCGCTTGAGCCCAGGAGTTGGAGGTTGCTGTGAGCAGTGAAGCCATGGCACTCTACCCAGGGGGATAGCTTGAGGCTCTGTCTCAAAAAAAAAAAAAAAAAACCAGTTTCAGGGAGGTGATAAAATATAGAAAAATGTGCAAAAATTTCTGTATGTTTGAATGTTTTCATACTAAAAAGCTGGATTTAAAAAAAACTGCGAGAAGGCCACCAAAACCCTTGAAAAACGGAATTTTGAGGCGGCAGGCATTCGTTGACGACTCAGAGAAAACATCTAGGCCACCAACACCCATCTCCACGCACTGAAACTAAGCCCAAGGCATCCCGGCCGCCTCCCTACTGAGCTCCCCTCCCCAAGCCACCACCTCCTGCTCGCCCAGCCTCAGTCCGTTCTCAGAACACACTCCATCACCTGGTTCCCAGAACTCAGATTGCGCAGTGGTCTTGTCATCATCGGCAAGGGCTCACAGCAGCACACGCCTCCCTAAACTCCCTCCCGGCTAGCCACACCCGCTACCCCTCACCCCTTACCCCCGGCTCCGGGTCCCTGGCCCCACTTCGCCTGCCACGTTTTCATAATCATCTCAGGCTCTGGGCAAGCAGCAATGGAACCTGATCATATAAGGAAAATATTGCGGGCTCATTCCAGGGCTGTATCGAGGACCCAAGAGCGCCTACCACGCTCGCTACATCCCAGCAGACACCACCCTCCCCGGCCGGGTACCCAAACTAGCCGTCGCGCCCGGCCGAGCCAGCGGAACTTCCGCCCAGTGGTCTGCGTAGCCGCCGGCCCCAACCAATCCGCCGCACCGCCGTCGTGCCCGCCCATGAACGTCCGGCTCCGCCCGCAGCCGGGACTGCTTGCCTCGTCTCCCTCTCGCCCGGCTGGTTTTAGGTGGTGGGTGTGCAAGCGCCTACTTGTGTTTTTCGTGCCCCAGGCGAGGCTGAAGGGGAACATTCATTACCTGTGTGTGGGAGGAGGGCAGGGGTAGGATGGATGAGGGCTGTCAAGTCAAATTCTCTGGATTGGGAAACAGGGAAAGTCTGTAAAGTCTTTGTGATGTGAAGAAAAAATCCTCTGGCGAGGCACGTGTTCATTTCCCCTCAGCTGTCTCCCCAGCAGACTTGGCACCTCTGATTGCTACAGGATGGGGCGTAGGGAGCGGCGGGGCCAGGAGAGGGAACAACGCTTAGGCTGGCTGGTGGGGGCGGGAAGTAGGTGAAGGGGCAGACAAGGCCTAAGGGTTCACCGCCCTCCAGGGGTAGGAGTCGGGGTGTGGCCTGGGGCACCGCCCACACCCCTAAAAGCCGAATAACGGCGGGCCTCCCAGGGAACACCGCGAACCGCCACGGGAATCCTTCGCTGCTGAGCACCGAGTCGCCGCCATGGCCTTGCTCCGAGGTGAGCCCGGCCGGCTCCTCTCTGCCCTTCGGGGTCATGTCCTTCCCGGACCGAGCCTTCGCTTCCAGGCTACGCGGAGAGTCGGGGTCGTGGGGTGACTTCAGTCTTACCGGTTCTAGAGGGCTTTGATAAAATCCCAACCCGAAAGGAAGGTTTGGGTTAAGGACAAAACCCTTTCCTGTAAGGCGCTAGCGACCGCGATTTCGGTGCACCTCCCTGTGGAGAGCAAGGTTTGCCTGCTTCTGACCTTGGAGATGGTTCCCTTCCTTGCTCTTCAAACCCAGCTACTGCGCTTTAGGAAAGATAGGCGATGCCGTAAGCTCAAGGCTCGGGGAACAGCCGGGGCGCTGTGTTCTGGGCGGCGGGTGAGCAGGGCGTGCGGGGAGGAATTGAAGAGGCCCTCCAAGGGTCGCCAGCGAATTTCCGCCCGAGTGGCCTGACCTCCAAAAATGATAGGTGGGAGGTTCTGTTGGAAGACCTGCCTTACTCCCTTTTCTCTTCTATTGCTGTAACTTGAGCCACTGCAGGAAACGTGAACGTCATTCAGTACTTAAGTTCTAGAGTTTCCCTTGTTTAAAACAAATATGCAGACTCCCTTCCCATAGCAAATGGTCCGTCAATGGAATCTTAATTTACAGATTCATGTGTCTGTTGAAGAACATTCAGGTAGAACACAAATGAAGACCCTGAAACAGGAAAAAGCTTAGGCTCTAAGAACCAACCATTTTGGTGCTCCAGGGCCCTGTGGGGTTTAATTCTAAATTCAGTGGAAAGCCGGACAAGGATTTAAAGAGAAAGATGACAGGATCTGAAGATTTCCAGCCGGTCCGTATTTGCTCAGGCAACGAGAGCTGTCTGTTTAGCAATGAGGAGACCTTTTAAGGGATTTACTGCAACAGCAAATGACAGCTTTGAATCCTTTGGGAGCGGTGAAGTTGGGAAAAAGGGGAGAGGATTTTAAGATAGATTTGGAGGTGGGTTTGATAAGATGTGTGATAGGTTGAATGTGGGGAATGGAAGGAAAGGGCAAGAATGACTAAAGGTTCTGGTTTGAGGAACTATGTTCATGATGATAGGTACCACTTAGGGAGTGAGGAAAACTGGGGGAGGAATAGATTTGGAAGGGAAGATTGAGGATTCAGTTTCAGGAAAAGAACTTTTTATGCCTGGGAAGCACCCAAGTGGAGATGTCAGCTAGGCACTGGAGGGGGATCTGGAAGTCAGAAAAGCCAAAATGGCATGTGGAAAATGGGTGTTCAGGAACAAAAGGGAGCATGTATGCAGTTTCCTGCAAATGCATTTCCCTTTGCCCATCCCAACTGTGAACTTGCATGTTGAATTGTTTTTAGAGAAGACATCAGTAAACCCACTTAATTTTAAAAAGCTGCATTGTAATGAGCTCTATTTCTAAAAAGCAACTATGCATATTGCTGTTATTTTATCAGTGGGTCTTACCTTTTTCTTATAATATAGACCCCTTTAAAATTGGATGAAAGCTGTAAACCTGGCAAAGAAAACAAACCTACATCGACACCTGTGTGTACTGGCAAGTATAAAATGTATAAATTTATGATACACTTTACCATAGTACAGGTAAGGACACTAAGTCCAGAGAGGTAAAGTGGCTTGATCTTCAGTTAGTGATGTTATAGGCTAGAGTCATTAAACGTATGCACTTCTCTTTAGTAGCATACCCAGTGTTTATCAGATTGGAGGGAAGAAAGAGCACATTTGAATTAACTTTGGCAAAGATTATCATTAACTTACTGAATTTCAAGTCAGCAAGAAGCAATCCCTCAGGTTTTTACTGGCACCCGCCCAGTGTTTGGCAAGAGCTTCCTGCTGCTTATTAGGGTGGTTGGGAGGATTCATTTATCCTGTCAAGGCAAGTAGGCCCGCTAAAATACCTTAATCCTGAAACAGAAATGGGTGCCAAAGCCCTTTGCCTTAATTTTCCCTGGCTGCTGTCTGTAGTTGTGCTAAGGAAGTAAGTAAATGTTTACACAGCAGTATAACAGAAAGAAAGGCAGAGTTCCTGTCTATCGACTAGTGTTGATTCTCCTGTTCTGCCAAATCATCACATCTTATCAGGCCCTTTCTTGGTGCATCTAACTCTTTACAGTTTGGATCCATATGTCGTTTTACTGTCTTTAAGTTTTGGAAAATCATTCAGAACCTTTTAAAATAGAAAAGAGTTTAATTCAGTGTTAGAAATTGATAAATTTTAGACCTCTTAATATCCATGTAAAATTGACATCAAATCAAATTTGACATGGTATCTAATTTATGAAATTGTGAAGAAAGAACCTTTAAATTGACGCCACACCTGTGGCTCAAGTGGCTAAGGTGCCAGCCACATACGCTTAAGGTGGCAGGTTCGAGTCCAGCCCGGGCCCGCCAAAACAACAATGACAGCTGCAATCAAAAACTAGCTGGGCGTTGTGACGGGCGCCTGTGGTCCCAGCTGCTTGGAAGGCTGAGGCAGGAGACTCGCTTGAGCCTAGGAGTTGGAGGTTGCTGTGAGCAGTGAAGCCATGGCACTCTACCCAGGGGGATAGCTTGAGGCTCTGTCTCAAAAAAAAAAAAAAAAAAGCTGGCCCCAGCCAAAAAAAAAAAAAAAAAAGGTTCATTCATTGTGTTGTATAGTTCTATGGGTTTTGACATAGATACCATGTATAAATGGTATATATCACTGTTACAGTGTGAAGCAGAATAATTTCACTGCCCTAAACATCTCTGTGTCCCACTTATTCATCCCTGCCTCTGAACCCCTGACAAGCACTGATCTTTGACAGTATAGTATTCTTCATAGCCTTACCTTTTCTAAATTTTGTGCAGTTGAAATTGTACGGTGCGTGACCTTTTTGACTGGCTTCATTCATTTAACATAATGCATTTATTTAAGATTTCTCCTTTTTATGGCTTGATAGCTCATTTTCTACACTTGATCTTAGCAAAAAAGCCAAGAAGCAGTTGACAGCTCATTTCTTTTTCTTGCTAAATAATGTTCACACAATTTGTTTATCCATTCACCTATTAAAGGACATCTTGGTTGCTTTCAGGTGTTGGCAGTTACAAATAAACATTTATGTGCAGGTTTTTGTGTGGGTAGAAGTTTTTACATCATTTGGGAAAATAAAAAGGTGTATAGTTTCTGGATCATATGGTTTAAAGTATGGTTCATTTTGTAGTAAACTGTCCAACTATCTTATAAGTGGGCTATACTATTTTACATCACCACTAGCAATGAATGAATTTTTATTGCTCCACATCCTCACCAGCATTTGGTGTTGTCAGTGTTTTGGATTTTAGCCATTCCAATAGTTGTGTCGTGGTATCTCATGTTCTTTAACTTGCAATTCCCTAACGACATATAATGATGAGTATCTTTTCATAGGCTTATTTGACATCTGTATATCTTCTTTGGTGACATGTGTTGGTATCTTTTGTCTTTTTTAAATTGGGTTGTTTTCTTACTGAGATTTAAATGCTATTTATATATTTTGCATACAAATCCTATATCAGGTGTATAGTAAATATATTCTCACTGTCTATATCTTATCTTTTCATCCTCTTAGCAGTGTCTTTTTCAGAGTAGAAGTTTTGAATTTTAATAAAGGCCAACATCATGATTTTTTCTTTCATGGATCCTGTTTTTGGTGTTATATCCAAAAAAGGTAGCACCAAACCCAAAGTTGTACAGATTTTTCTCCTATATTATCTTCTAGGAATTTTATGGTTTTATATTTTGTGTTTAAGTCCATTTTGAGTTAAATTTTGTGAAAGGAATATAGTCTATGTCTAAGTTTCTTTTTTTTTTTTTCAAATGTAGATATTCAGTTAATGCCAGCACCACTTGTTGAAAAACTATCCTTTCCCCAGTGAATTGCCTTTGCTCCTTTGTTGGACATTGCAGTTCCACTCATGCTTTGTTTTTGTTCTGTTTATCAATCTTTTTCTCTCTCTGTTCTTCAGACTAAATAATTTTTTTTTGGATTGAATAATTTCTATTTATCTGTCTTCAAAGTCACTCAGTTTTTCTTCTTTCATTTCCATTCTGCTTTTAAGTCCATCCAGTGAACTTTTTATTTTGTCTATTTTTCAGTTTTAGAATTTCCATTTTGGTTTTTATATAATATGTAGGTCTTTGCTGAGATGTCCTGTATTTTATTATGAGCATATTTTCCCTTCCATCTTTGAGCATAGTTATGGTAGATAGCTGTTTTTAAATTCTTGTTTGCTAATCCCAAAGTCTGGGTCTTGCAGTTGGTCGCTATTGGTTGTTTTTTTTTCTTAAAAACAAGTCATATTTTTCTGGTTCCTCGTGTGTGGATTAATTTTGAGTTTTACCATGGACATTACAGATATCCTGTTAGATTCCTCCTAAAAGTATTGACTCACTGATTGTTGGCTACTTATTTACTTCTTGTCAACTAGTTTACTTGCCTGAACTATACTAAAATATGTTTCCCTTAGGAGTGGGCAGAAGCTCAAATCTAAGTTCAGTTTTTTTGTTTTGTTTTGTTTTCTTTTTTAAGAGACAAAGTCTCACTTGCTCGCCCTGGGTAGAGTGCTTTGGCATCACAGCTCACAGCAATGTCCAACTCCTGGGCTGAGGCAATTCTCTTGCCTCAGCCTCCCGAATAGCTGGGACTACAGGCACCATAAGTTCAGTTATAATTTATAATAGATTTACAGATATAATCAGATATTTATAAAAGGCCATAAATATTAGTTTGGTGCATTGCAAATGTTTTGGTAGGTGAGCTGTTTTGTGCCACTGTGCCTTCAGTTCAGTTTTTTTAGCCTTTGTTTAGATTCTTGTGATCTAACCCACACATGAATGTTTAAGGGGTTAGCCACAGTATTTGGGCAGAGTTTATATGGAATTTTGGACTTTTCTTCTGTGGTGCTCCCCTTTCCCAGGTTCTCCTGACTTTCTGGTGGCTATTGTTGCCATGTAACTCTTCAACCCAAGACTGTAAGTTTCTGAGTTGTAGCCATTCCATCCAGCATGGACTGCTGGCCCTCAAATTAGATGGTATAAAGAAAGTAGAAACTCCCTCATACTGTTCCCTTCTTCCAAGTGTCAGCTTTTCACATCTATCTAGTTTTGCTCCTTCCCAAGACCTTCAAGTAGTTGTAGTATACATTGTCTAGAGTTTGTCATGGTTAACTGTTGGAGGGGTATAGTAGGCTATGACCAGAAGCAGAACCAATGAAATTAAGTATAAGGCATGGAAAGGAGGGGAAAAGTGAAATAAATATAACACTGATAAAAAAATAGGCAGAGACTATTAAGTAAGGAGGATTAGAGAACACTAGCAAAGATTCAGGAAGGCACAGTGGCACAGAACAGCCCACCTACCAAAACAAAACATTTGCATTGCACCAAACTAATATTTATGGCCTTTTATAAATATCTGAATATTAACATCTGTAAATCTGTTACAGAGTATAAGTGTATCTATTGCTCCTAATTTCCTTTAGATTGTACATTTCTTAAAGTATGAATGAAAAGAGAGGCTGCAATTTTTTTTTTAAGCTATGTTTAATCTGTTCCATGGAAAGAAATCATAGACATAAGCTGGAGGATTGTGCTTAGGTACCAATAGTGAATAAGGACCGGATAGTCTCCATTATATAGGTCAATATCTTAGCACAGCCCATTACTAAAAGTCCCGTAATTTCTTGACCAGATATAGAAATGTGAGCTCAGATTGTTTTGGGGAGAATAAAGTTAGTATATGCAAAGGGCCTCGCATGAAGTCTGTCACATAGTAGGTTCCCCCTGTGCGTTAGCTGTCATGTTTACCTTGAGTTGTTGGGAAAATTATACAGTATATTCTGTACAAAGGATAAAATGGTAGGTGAATAATGGATATCAGTGTCATGAAACTGCTACCACCAGTACTGCTTACCGATGTGTGGGTTTTGTATTGGACAACTCTACCCCTCACATCATAGTCATTATGTATTTGCATAGTTACAAGTTTTTCTGGCAGTTGGCAGTAGGTGTTTGGGAAGGTCTGACTTTTATTTACGTGTAAAAGGACACTGATTTAACTAGTAATGATGCTGCCAATGTACAGTCTTAGTTTGTGTTAATAGATGTATGGATCATTCCCCTGAATTCTTTGTGGTTAGATAAAATGTAGTGTATTTTGTTATATTCTGGGTGATACATTTTAATGAGATGTTGACAAACTAGAGTGTCTTTAGCGGACAGCCATCAGAATTGATGTCAAATAAAGAACTATTGAAAGAATGCTTTTTATTTACCTGGAAAAAGAGATGTAATGTCCATTGGGGAAATTTTACAGGTTAGCTGACTCCTGATCCTGGAGGGGCTACACATGTAAAAGGTTACTGTTTTGTCCATTTTTTTCTAAGAATACACGATAATAGTAAAATATAGTTCATGTTATTTGAAATTTGTAATTTGAGTCATCCTCCAGAAACAATGGCATATTTAATTCAAATTTAAAGCCTCGTATATTCTAGAAACTATATCTCTGCCTTGAGATGCGTTTGTATAGAACTAGGATTGATGGAGGATTTGGCAAGCTGAGTCAGCTCAGTATGAAGAAAAGTTAATCATTTATATTGCTCATGCATGGGCACACTGCTTCCTGCAGTAGATGTATCTTCTTATTAAAAGCTTCCTAGTGAAGGTTAGAACCTCTTGTCAGGAATTTTCTAGAGGGAGTTCTTATAGGGTGAGTAGTTGACCTCCTACACACTTAAAGAGTGTTCTAGTTTAGAGAGTCTTTGATTATAATACTAGGCCCTATACTCTGAGAAGAAAGAAGCATTTCAATTCTCAACAAGTGTTTTAGCATTGTAAAGCATCAGAGAACAAGAACATTGTCTAATTGGAATGGGTTATATGATAGCATGCAGTGCAGTTCCTGACACCCACGTGTAGCTATTAACCAAACCAGTAACGCTTAAGACTGCTTCCATGGGTGTGACACGTTCTATCTACTATTGCATGGCAAAGATTTTCAGTTATCTAATTGTACGTTACAATCAGGTTTTACAATAAAATTCTTTAAAGCATGCTAGAGACACTGACTAATCCGTGATTGCTTACAAATCTCTGCTCTTTGTAACAGGTGTGTTTATTGTGGCTGCTAAGCGAACGCCCTTTGGAGCTTACGGAGGTCTTCTGAAAGATTTCACAGCTACTGACCTGGCTGAATTTGCTGCCAAAGCTGCCTTGTCTGCTGGCAAAGTCTCACCTGAAACTGTTGACAGCGTCATTGTAGGCAATGTCGCGCAGGTTGGTAAAACAGAGTCACCCCTGTTGCTTTCTTTGATCCATTTCTAAAAATAATACCTTTAGCATATCATAATGGCAAGCAAGTTAATAATAGTTACAGGTTTTTGAAATTTGTAATTTGAGTACTGGTCAGATTCCAGGGATACTGGCATGCTTAATTCAAAGCAGCATATCCTGGAAACTATGTATCTGTCTGACTTGAGGTGCATTTCCATGTTTCTTAAATTGCAAATTGACTTAATCAGAAGTTGATTGGTTTGCCTTATGTCCCACCTAAGGAGGGTTGCAAACCCAAGATATACAACTCACCTCTCATAATTTCTCACACATTGTAGGAGCTTGGTCAGTGTTAACAGGAAATAGGCAACTGACTTAGCCTCTGTCTTCCTATGTGTGGTATGGGCGTCTAGTTAGAGGTTGTTTTAGGTGTGAAAGTACCCAAGGGGACCAAAAGGAGGAGGTGATCTATTTATATTGATATCTATACACACACACATACGTATTTTAAAAGGTGTCGCTGATGTGATCATTGCCCATGGACACAGAAAATCATTAGACCCTAAATAAGATCGTTCTTTCCCTCTTCCCAGTCTGTATCTTCACATTCAGAAAAAACAATGACATTTTTCCTTTTGCAATTATGTCTATTAAATCAAAAATTTTTTCATGAAGAATTTTCTTTTCGGGGGTGAGGGGCTTTACCTTTGACCTAAGAAAGCATTAGAACAGATCAAATAGAAGTAGAATATTTTGGGGTTTTGTTTTTTCTATAATTTATTTTATATGGAGATTTTTCCTCTCTAAAATCCTTCTGTGTTTCCCCAGTATGGATTCTCTCAAAGTTTGCCCCAAAAGTCACTAGAAATAGTATCAGTTTCACTGTGTTCGTGCCGCTGTTCCTAAAAGCAATCTTTCTTGGATTAAGTTTTCTGTCAAACCAAGATACAGTTTTCTGGGAAGGGTTTTAAGTACTTAATAGATAAGTATTTGGGGTTAGTCCTTTATGGTTAGAAGATAACAGAATTGGCTTCAAATAACATTTAACAAATACCACAGAGCTATTCTTGTAATTCAGTTAAATATTAAATGAAATGAATTAATTAAAATAAATGAATTGTACTTTTTTCTTGGGAAACAATTCCTAGGATAAATCCCACTTGGTCATGGTGTACCATTACTCAATTACTGTAGCTCAGTCTAAGTCCAAAGGCCTGAGAACCCAGGGGGCTACTGTGTGAGTCCTGCAACCCAAAGGCCAGAGAACCTAGATTGCTGATGTTCAAAAACAGGAGAAGACAACTATATTCCAAAGTTCAGCTTTCCTCTGTTTTTGTCCTATCGAGGATCCCAACTGACATATGATTCCCCTCCCACACTGAGGACGGATCTTCCTCACTTAGTCCTCTCAAAGTCCTGTGCCAGTCTCCTTTGGACACACTCGAAACAGTATCTCACCAGTTCTCTAGGTATTCTTTGATCCAATCAAGTCAGCAGCTAAAATTAGCCATCTTAGTGTTAAAGGTCCTAAGGTATTTTGTTCTAAGAAATTCTTGGGCAGTGCCTTGGCTCAGTGAGTAGGGTGCCGGCCCCGTATACTGAGGGGGGCAGGTTCAAAACCAACCCCAGCCAAACTGCAACAACAACAAAAAAATAGCCAGGTGTTCTGGCAGGCACCTGTAGTCCCAGCTACTCAGGAGGCTGAGGCAAGAGAGTCTTTGAGCCCCGGAGTTGGAGGTTGATGTGAGCTGTGATGCCTCGGCACTCTATGGACGGTGATAAAGTCAGACTCTGTCTCTTAAAAAAAAAAAAGAAATTCTGATGTGTGAAAATAGCCATATAATAAGGAATATGTTTGATTTTTTTAAAAGATAAGTTCTAGGATTTACAGACCGTTCAAGAGCCGGAAGCAGCCCTAGAGATTTTGTAGAATTTCAGGCCTCTATTGACATATGAGGAAACCTCACACTACTAAGGAATGGTAAAGTCTGGATTCCAATCCAAATCTCCTAATTCCTAGTGTCATATTCTTTCCATTACCTCAAATGACTGCTTATATCAACTTGGACCTTATAAAGTCTTACAAGAAGCAATTCCAAAATAGGTAAACCTTGGCAAAAGAGTATCCGTTGCCCAAGAATCTTTTTGATGACATTAATTTATAAAATAAGATAACCTCAATCAACGAATAAAACATTTAATTAGTGAATTAATGTTATTCTGAATTCCTTTGATTTCCATCTGCTTTCAAAATCCTTAGTCTATAAATGTGCTGAATTTATTGAATCTTATTTTGAAAAATTAAACCAGCTCGGCATCCACAGCACAGTGGTTACAGCCCTAGCCACAGGTACTCGGGGTGGCGGGTTCAAACCCAGCCCAGGCCAGCTAAACAACTGCAACAAAAAAATAGCCGGGTGTCGTGGTGGGCACCTGTAGTCCCAGCTACTTGGGAGGCTAAGACAGGAGAATCGCTTGGGCCCAGGAGGTTGAGGTAGCTATGAGCTGTGACGCCACAGCACTCTACCGAGGGCAACATAGTGATACTCTGTCTCAAAAAAAAAAAAAAAAGAAAAAAGAAAAGAAAAGAAAAATTTCAAATCTACATAAAAGTTTAAAAGAATAATACAGTGAAATTCTAGGGTGGCGCTTGTGGCTCAAAGGAGTAGGGTGCCGGTATACCCCATATGCCGGAGGTGGTGGGTTCAAACCTAGCCCCTGGACAAAAAAAAAATTCTAAAACTCTTTACCTTGGTACATCAGTTTACTACATTTTGCCAAATTTGCTTTAGCACTCTATAAATACTGTCGTATTATCGTTTGTTTGTTTTTTTATAGTTATTTTATCCCTTACTCAAAGTGTGGTCCTTGGACTAGTAACATTGTCTTTACCAAAGAGATGGTCAGAAGTGTAGTCTCGGGCAGACCTAGACCTTTTGATTCAGAACATCTTGTGTTCTAACGAAGTGCCCAGGTATGCATTTTAAAGTTTGAGGAGCAGCGGTCTAGCCCTACTTCATTCTCTAGACCAGTTGTCATCAGTCTTCTCTCTAAATACACAGTTTTCAGCCTATTTTACATTAGTGTAACTTGGGATGCTTTTAAAAGGAACTACTGATGCCCAGGCCCCACCTCCAGCCTTTCTGGTATTATTGGTTTGCTTAGGAGTTTCAACCCAAAAGAAGTCAAACTTTGTAAAATAATTTAAAGAAGTTTAATCTGACTCAAATTTGAAGACAATGGCCTGGAGCCATGTCTAAGAAACCTTGAGCAAGTGGACTCACTGTGGTGGGGTTATAGTTTGGTTTACGCATTACAGGAAGACAGTAATTACAGGTAAAGTTATAAATTGATACATGGAAGGCATACGTTGGTGGGACATCTCAAAGTCGGAGGAAATGGGGAGATTCCCAGTTATAGGTGGGTTTAGGGATTCAGTTGACTGAGAGTTAGGCTTTGTCAGGGGAAAGGGCTGTAGAGTTAAAGGTAAGGATCTGTTCATTAGAGACCAGACACTAGACTTCTGTGCCCAGACTCAAGTGGTTTGTCATGTATATTGAGAACCTGCAGGTTTGTCTTGCTCAGCCTTAGGCCTGTTAATAAGACAGAAAGTGCATTTTGAAGGAGGGAGGGGGCATGGTGACGCTCTTCTGACCATCTATTTCGTGGCTAGCAAGTCAGTTGTAGGGTATCCCCTTCACCAAGAGGAGTACACACAGTCTGCTGCTGAGGGCGAGCCTTGCAATTTTAGTTCACAGGAGGATAAATATGTTAACAAAGCTTCCCGGGTGAGTCCACCCTGAAGCCAAGGTTGAGAACCACAGCCTTAGACCCTTCCTCTTTTAGGGAACATACTGCTCTGAGAGAGCCTGTTCCATTTCAAACAGCCCTAATTGTTAAAAATGTCTGTCTTTGGGCGGCACCTGTGGCTCAAAGGAGTAGGGCACTAGCCCCATATACCGGAGATAGTGGGTTCAAACCTGGCCCCAGCCAAAAACTGCAAAAAAATAAAAAGTTAAAAAAAAAAGTCTGTCTATGTTAGGACTTACTAGGTTTTCTGTAATTAGCTGTCATGCTCTGTGTGTTTGAAAACCAACTGATCATAGTTGCACAGTATTAGGAATCTATTTAATACCACAAATCTGTACAGTGAAAAATAGTTAAGATGGTAAATTTATGTTTTGTGTATTTTATATTACAATTAAAAAAATAGGAAACCCCTAGTTGGCCAAGTTACGGTTTTTATCCAGATCATAAACATATATAATACGCTGCACCCGAGTGCATCACGTCCTACCTTAGAGCCATGCAGTTTATCATTTTTAATTGATTGCCAACACTTCTGTGTCTTTTGTGCTTGATTCCTAGATTTATAGAGGAAATTTTCTTGTTCTTTCCCCTATCTCTGTTCCAGACTTCTTCAGATGCTATCTACTTGGCAAGGCATGTTGGTTTACGAGTAGGCGTCCCGAAAGAGACCCCGGCTCTCACTGTTAATAGGCTCTGTGGCTCTGGTTTCCAGTCCATTGTGAATGGATGTCAGGTATGGGCAACATTATATTTAATTCTCTAGAAATATATATGTTAATAGTTATTAAATATGTTAATAGTTATTTCCACTCCCATATAACACTTTAGCTTTTTTATCTTACAGGGCTGATTAGGAGGGGTCAACATTTGATTTTTCCTGGAAAACTATCACAGGAAGAAAATAGATTCTTAAAAGCTAATACTGGACCCTGAAGTGAAATGAGCCTTTCACAAAAGGACAAATACATATGAGTGTGCTTAGATGAGGTGGCTAGAGCAGTTAAGTTCATAGAGACAGAAAGTAGAGCGATAATGGTCAGGGGCTGGGGGCAGGGGAAAAGGGGAAGTTAGTGTTTAATAGCGTTCTGGAAGAGGTACCCGCAAATGAATTTATAAGTGCCTGATTGTAAATAAAAGAGATAGAGCAATTTTGATTGAGTTGTTCACTGAACTGTGTATTTAATCATGGTTGTAATGGTAAATTTTAAGTTTGCTTTATCACAATTTTTTTTTTCCAAAACTAATATGGCTCGGTGCCCATAGTTCAGTGGTTAGGGCACCAGCCACATACACTAGGGCTGGTGGGTTCATACCCAGCCCAGGCCTGCTAAACAAAAAAAAATAGCTGGGCATTGTGGCAGGTGCCTGTAGTTCCAGCTACTGGGGAAACTGAGGCAAAAGAATTGCTTGAGCCCAAGAATTTGAGGTTGCTGTGAGCTGACACCATAGCACTCTATAGAGGGCAACAAAGTGAGACTCTGTCTCAATAAAACAAATAAAATTTAAAAATAAAAAACTAATATGTTCATCATTTGTATTGAGTGCTTCCTATGTGCTGAACTGTGCTAGATTTACTTTCAATATAGCATTTAATCTTCACAGCTATCCTATGAAGTAAGTACTATTATTATTCCCATTTCACAGGCACAGAAACTGATTATTAAAGGATTAAAAGTTGCTAAGTCAGGGAGGCAGAATTTCAACACAGGTCTGTAAGAGTTACCTGCAAAGTAGTTGGAAACAGTGGATAAAGACTGTGAGGCAAAGAGGAGAGTCTAAAAATCTCTAAGATTTAAGAGATTTAAGAAAATGTATTTTACTGCAAAGTAGCTAAATTAACCTGTTGATAGAAGACCAAACTAGTATGAGCTTCTTAAAGAACAGCTGGGAAATACGTTTGTTCCTTTGAGCCCAGGGGAAGAGAGTATAGTGAAATTCAATTTTATTTGTAAAAGTATTCATTTGATTGCAAACAAAATAAGACACAGATATATTGTAACAAATAAGTTATTTTCACATTAAGTTGTTTCTACAAAGATGTGTCTTAAATAGTGACCCTGATTTTCTTAGCAATAATGTTAAACATCAGGTTCTTGGAAGCTTACTATTTGCTTCTATTTTGAGAAATGTGGACAGAGTTGGAAAAATGAAACAGATTCCTTCTCCTGAGCACCCTGGATTGACTCAGTTCTTGTAAATCTCTGGTCTCCTTCAGATGCATCCGTTAGTAGGGTAAATTTTTCTTTTGCCTTAAAAGGGTTTGTTCTTTGTTATCTGCTATACATTATGCCAGCATTAATATCTCTGCTGATTTTTAAGATTTATGTTAAGAATTACTATTCTTAGCCAGAACATAGGTAGGGTCTGTTACTCAGGCAAAAATAGTCTAAATCTATTAATTTCCACCACCACTGCCACCACCCTGCATCTTGAGAATGGTTTTGCTATACAATTACTTCAAAAGCATTTCCTTTTGAGATACCGTAAGCTAGGGTATAGTATTTGTTAGAATTACAGTATTTGTTAGAATTGTAATTGTGTGTAGTTCTTAATTTGTTTAGGTACAATAAAAAAGGTTTTTGTTGTTGTGGATTGTTCATTTGTTTTTAAATAGGATATTTGTGTTAAAGACGCTGAAGTCGTCTTGTGTGGAGGGACCGAAAACATGAGCCAGGCTCCCTACTGTGTCAGAAACACGCGTTTTGGAACCAAACTTGGATCAGATCTCAAGGTTGGAACCATTGCAATTTTAAAGAATTTTTTCTTGTGATATTAGATAAGTTATTTTAAAATAATGTAACTTTTTATTAGAGAGAAAACTAACTTTGAAACCAGTTTTGTTAATGAAGATAAGCAAAATGCAAGTGACTTAAAGTAAACTATTTCAAATCTCTTTTTTGGTTGTTAGTTCTTCTGACAGTTTAATTCACATAAAATTAAGACTATCTCAGCACTCCACTGATAGTAGAATCAACACATATAAGTGACCATAGGCATGGGGGAGACAGGAAGCAAACAAGTAGATTAAAAAGATAAGGTAAAGGTGTACCTTAATCTTTTACCTTAATTAAATCTTTACAAGGACTTATAGACATTTTATTTCTGGAGCAATCACGGGACAGATTTCTTCATCACAGAAAACATTATCTTTGAATACAGATTATAATATTCTGAATCAGACAGAAACTGATCCTTCCATCTTTGAGAGCTACAACATGAGAATGATAACACTGTACTGATAAAGAATGATATTATAGTCTCTCTCCCATGTGAAAGGGCTAGTAACATTTTATATTTTTTGGCTTTTTTTTTTAGTAATGTTTGACTTACACCATTCTCCCAGCTTCTCACCTAGGCCTTTTGGAAGTTGAAAGGAATGAAACTTAAAAACTGTTCTTTAGCAGTATTTTAGCCATTGAATAAATTTGAGAAATCTTTGCAAGAACACATCAGTGTCTCAAGAGTTGATGAGGCAGCAAATGGGGCACACTCATCAGACTCAAGCTACCTGGATAATAATTAACAACCTCTTCTCTAACTCCAGGAGCCTGTCCCAGCTTCTTTTTAGCCTCATTAGTAACTGGCAGAACCAGCTGTGCCTGTCACGGATGATGGGATGGAAAGGAGCACGCATATAGTTTTTCCGACAGAGCACCTGAGTGGTTTAGTAACTAGCCACAGGAAAACATTGCCGGGGGACTCATAGTCAAGTTTCTTACTGGTCCCAGTACAGGGCCACACAGCAGGAGGTGAGCAGCAAGCAAGGAGGCATCATCTGTATTTACAGCCACTCCCCTCAGGTGCAGCACTGCCTGAGCTCCACCTCCACAGGAGCGCGAACCCTGCTGTCACATGTGCACTCGAGGGATCTGGACTGTGTGCTGCTTATGAGAATCTGAGCACCCTGCCCCATGTCACCCCCTAGTTCATGGAAAAATTGTCTTCCATGAAACTCATCCCTGGTGCCAAAAAGGTTGGGGGCTGCTGACCTAGAGGATTTACTTTTTGATGATAAGATAACTTCCTGCAGTGTCACTCTGCCCTTTTAGTACAGTTGGGTCTCTTTAGAGCCCCACACTTAGAGACAGAGAATGTGGACATTTTATTGTGTGACTTTGGATGTTTTTAAAAAAATATCCCAGAACCAAATATGAATAGTAATAGCAAATGTTTACCAGTATAATTTTATTTTGTTTATTGAAACTATTAAAGGAGTTATAGTATATTATTTTCAAAAGATAATGCTCTAACACATCACTCTTTTAATATCTTTTAATAGCTGGAAGATTCTTTGTGGGTGGCATTAACAGATCAGCACGTCAAGCTTCCCATGGCAATTACTGCAGAGAATCTTGCTGCAAAACATAAAATAAGCAGAGAAGAGTGTGACAAATACGCCCTGCAGTCACAGCAGAGGTGGAAAGCTGGTCAGTGAAACTGCATAATCTCAATATCTATAAAGAAATCTGTAGGAAAGCTTTTCATGATTTCAGATTATAATGGTAATAAGATTATATTAGATTACAAATCATTGCAAAAGTATAGTTTGAAAATTGCACTTTTTACTATCCTTTTTTTTTTTTTTTTTTT